AGAATATAGTCCTTAAAACACCGATTTTGCATATTTGATTTCTTTAATAATTAAACCATTAATCTTAAGCACAATAAATTTAATTTAACATAAATCACATATTTCAAGCATTAATTTCTCATGATGAAATGATAATTATACTTACTCTTAATATACATATATATAGAATTATTCTAATACACGTCGCGTTACGGATAAGGGTTTTTACGGGGGTTACAAATATTATTCATTATTTTGTAAATAAATATATATAGATGAAATGTATATATTTTTAAAAAATAATCTTCTCATCAGTAAAAAAAAGTTTCATTTGTTAATTTTCATACAAGTTTTTATATTAATTGTTGCTTTATTTTTTTGATGCAATGTAATGAAAAAAAAATTAAGATTTTTTTTAATTTTATATTAAAATTTGTTTATTATGAGCTTTTATTTAAGAATAAATGCATAAGAAAGAACAAATCATATTTTTTTGATTTCAAAATTTTATTCAAAACATATATATATATACAAAATTTTGATTAAAAATTACAAAATTCGATGAAATTTTATTTTTTATATTTAACTTCATATATTTTAATTAATCAATAACATAATATATGTTATCAAACTGAAATAAATATGTTTAGTTTGGACCGTAGCACAGCGCGAGAATATGAACTTTTCATATGTCTAAAATTCCTATTCACTTACTCGTTCATGTGCATAAAATTACTATTTACTTAATGGCAATTTAAGTAATTTTTGTGTGTGATTTTTTTTTTTTGGGCATTAATATGCAAATTTAACACTTATTTCTATTTTTCGTCCCTCATGTTGTAACATTTTTTTTCAATCTTTAGTTTTTATTTTTCTTTTATTTTCATGTAACGTGTGTGTGTGTGTGTGTGTGTGTGTGTGTGTATTATCTTTTTATATTTTAAAATTAACATATACTTCAACTTATATTACTCTTATCATTTAAATTTTATTTTTTGAATTTATCATTTTTTATGAAAATTCTCATCCAATTAATATTTTTTATATAAAATGTTATTCAATGATAAATATAATTTATTTTTCTCTATGTTTGAATTTTGAATAAAATTTTAAAACATGATTGTTTTTATTTTTTTAAAAATAAATTGGTATAATATCATGAATCCTTAAATTTTTTAAAAGATAGTTGCATATATATAAGTATATGATTGTTTTATTCTAAAAGGTTAAAAAAGTATTTCAAATAATTTATCTCAATTCATTAGGTATGGTCAAAATGTATTAAAAAACTATTGAATCATTGATTTTATTAAAAATTAACAACACATCTTTCAACACAATACAAATTATTTACTATAAATATCTTTTTTAAACATTATAGAACCAATTTATTTGAAATAAAATAATTAAAATAATTTTTTAAAGGAACTAACCAATTATTCAAATATAGTTTTTTATGCTAATTTTATTGATTATTTTGTAAATAAATATGTATAGATCTAATGCATATACTTGAAAAAAAAAAATCTTCTCACCAATATTAAATTAGAATAAAATTTTATTTTTTTATTGGTTAATTTTTATGCAAGTCTATACATTAATTATAACTTTATTTTTTGGATACATTCTTATAAAAAAATATAATTTTAAAGTATTTGCTTTCGAGTTTTTAATTAATATTTCAATGCTTAAATTATTATAAGTTTTTATTTAAGAATCTCTGAATAAAGAAGAATAGATCATGTTTTTTTTTAAGTAGAAATTTTATGAAAAAAAAAGTAATAATTAAATAAAATATTAATGAAAAAAATTATAAAAATTTTAAATGATTTTTTTCTATTTACCCGTAGAGTTGCGTGTATAATTTCAAAAATTAACTTCCTCATAAGCATTAAATAAGATTTTTTTTTCAATTGTTAATTTTTGTGAAAATCTACCCATTAATTATAATTTTATTTATTGAAATACAATATTATGAAAATTATATTTTTAATTTTTTTATTCTTGATTAATATTTTAGTTAAAATTATTATATTTTTTTATTTTAAAATCAATCAATAAAAAAAGAATGATATTTGTTTTTCAAGCAAAAAAATTATAAAAAATATTAAAAAATTTTATAATTAAAAAATTTTAAAAGTAACTTGTGTTTTTCGGTTATTAACATAAGTAATAAAAGAATCAAATTCATGACTTAGTCTCTTTAAAATTTGTGACGACAAATCAAAATTTGAAACTCGATAGCCAATAAACTCAAGGGGTATCTGCTGTTGCCTTCGTCTTATCAGGATATTCAGTAAGGAAAATATCATTTTTTTCCTCTAAAATTTGAAAAAAGTGTTGTAAATTTGTCACTAGAGATCTGGAATGATTAACATGAAGTTGTTCAAGTCGAATCCATGCTTCAGGCTAGTTGATAGACCAAGAACTCGACTAGGAACATGTTCTGTAAGTGTAGCGTTGATCAAGCTGACAAGCATAAAGTCTTTAAGTCATCCAGGCAGTGTAGGCCGGACTAATTGTAGTGGTGGGACGCTGCTCACTGTCAAGAATACACACTAATCGACATGAAAGGTTAAAAATATTGGAGGATCGATTTTATTCTGTTTCGTTACATCGAGTTGATTTTGGCCTCTTTTATTTGAGGGAAAAAAGAAAAAATCACATATCTTTGGCGCTATCAGATTACGGCTTACCACTTCCTGGTGCCTTCATAGTTTGCCAAAAAAATCCGCTGTCCCAAAACGAGGAAGACAGATAAGAAAAGGCGGGTGTTGTCGATTGGAAAATATGCCATGTTCCATGTGGGCATGCACAAACTCGCAGATTTGAAGGGACAACTCAGACATGACACAAACCCAGCCTGTCGCCCAAGTCAACTACAACAAGATTTCATGAAAAACCTCCGGGTTCGCATTAAAGAAAGAAAGAAAGAAAAAAAGCTTGTGCCATTTTTTATGAATTAATTATAACTTACTCCCTATAGTTTGAATAATAAATTATTTAGTCTTTGTATTTTGAAAACCTATTATTTCATCTCTATGGTTTAAATCCACTTGTTACTCACTCACTGCGTCAATTGCATGTTATTTTCCAATTCAATTTTTTTTTTTTTTACATAGAAAATAGAAGAAATAAAAAAGAAATGGGTAAGATGAGAACATTTGATTAAAAAAAGTAATTTTTTTTTAAAAGGAAAAAACTAAATTAAGGATGCTTAACATGAGTCAAAACACTATTTAAACTTTTTTTATACTATAGGGACTAATTAATTAATTACATTAAACCAAAGGGACTACATTCTAAGTAACTCATATTTACGTGGAATGATGGTCAGCTTTATCGTGGGAAACCAAACGTTGAAAAAATGACATTAACTGCTGATAATAGTCCCTAATAAGATAAGGTTGGCAGCGAAGATCAAAAGACTATGCAGTCAAGGTATGTAATTTATTTATTTATTTATTTTTGCTGCCGACTATTGTAATGGACGAAAATCACCCGGTGCTATTATACAATTATTTTTTATAATTATTTGAACTCCTATATTTAATTCTACCACAAATCAAACTCTGAACTAAAAAAAATAAAAATAAAAAAAATAAAACTTAGACACACTAGTTCTTTTATTGAACTTTAAATTCGTTACTCAATTGGCCAAACGGTATTAATCAATTAACATCTATCCAATTAACTATTAACACCTGTCAACTCATGTTGGAAAATGTAATTTTTAAACAATTTTTTTTAAATTGACAATAATAAAAAAATTAATTATTATATAAAAATAAAAAATATAAAAAAAAATTCAAAATGAGACAAAACTGTCAAGTAGAATCCGGCCATAATTGGCGGATTCCGGCCTAATGTCAATAAAAAACACAGTTAAACAATAGAATTTCTTACAAAGAATTTATAAATATATAAACTATATTACTTTATCATCAAAATTAGGAGATACGAGGTTCCGAAGTTATAGATCTTAAAAAAAAAAAAATTAATCTAAAGTAGTTGTTTAGAAATTGTTTTTACGATTCGATTTGAGCTTAGAAGATTTCAAGGAGCGTAGGATATGTGTTGTGGGGGAAAAAACATGAAAAAAAAAAAAAACTATTTGAATGGAATCCAACAAAATTTTCCGGATTTCGACTGAATTTTCAGAATCCAGCTGAAAAATACAATTTGGTCTCCGAGCTTTTTGGTCTTCTAGTTTTAAATATTAGTCATTATGGTTCTCAAACTTTAATTGTTTTAGATAACCCCTTAGGCAATGTTTACGTTCCCAGGGTAAATTTGACTGTTTTATGTGCCATGTTTATACTTATTTTTTTAATAATATGAGCTTATTTGAAATGATATTTGTAAAGTTATAGTAGTTGTTAAAGATTAATCATGCGTAGTTTTGATCATTTTATTGATATAAAGACTGTTTTGAATATTGTAATTTGTTTTTTTTATCTATTAATATATATGTCGTTTTTAAATAATAATAATTAATTTTTTTTAATTTTTTCAAATTCTCCTTTGAAAATTACATTTTCAACAATTGATTGATACCTTTCAGAATTTAATTGGACAGATATTAGTCATCTAACACCCTTAGATTAATTGCATAATAGAGTTAGATGAAATGGTTAATGTGTTATAACTTTTTAAGTATAGGATTTGATTTGTACCAGAATTGGAGAGGGTTCGAATAATTAAAAATTGATAGTATAAGGGCATGAGGTGAATCTTACCTTAAATATAATTGAATAAAGTATTTTATTTTTTATTTTTAGTAGTTGACGTAAGTGGGTGCTAAAATATGGGAACACAATATTCTATTTTCAATTAATTCTGCTTCTATAGTTTAATAAACCATGCCGTCATTAATGCTCCCATTCACATTCCATGTGACCCACTTCGTCTTTGGGAGATCCCAAAAGAGCGCCTATAAAAGAAAACTATACTTTCCCACATCTTCAAAGGTTTATGAGCACCTAAAAATTTATCTTCAGATTCCCCTCTAGTTCTGCAACATGAATAACCAGAATAGAGTTAAGAGTTTTATACTAATAATCTTCTTTTTTGTGCTCAATCATTTCATCTTTTTGGTCTGTGGTGCACCACTTGCACCGGCATTGTATGTATTCGGCGATTCGTTGTTCGATAGTGGCAATAACAATATCTTGCCAACAGTTTCTAAGGCTAATTTCAAGCCTTATGGTGTTAATTTTGTCAAAGGAGACACAGGGAGATTCAGTAATGGTAGATTGGTTCCAGATTTTATAGGTATAGTGTAACGTTTTACGTTTCACATTTAATTTGACAACAACATCTGTGTACATGCAGCATTTTTTTTAAAAAAATAGGTTCATTTTCTTAATTAGACATTGACATGTATATATATGCTAATTCTTAAAATCCATATTGTAGCTGAATTTCTCGGCCTGCCATATCCTCCGCCGTGTATAAGCATCCGGACATCCACCCCGGTTACTGGTTTGAATTACGCGTCAGCATCTTGCGGCATTCTTCCTGAAACTGGAAAGAATTGGGTAAGAAAAACTAATTCAATCAATCTACTTCTAGGTTTTTTTTTTGTTTGTTAAACTTGATGATCTTGTTCCTGTTATATATATATATATATATATATATATATACATGCATGAAGTACTTGCAACTATATATGGATAATTATTTAACCCTTTCACCGTCAAAAATAATTAATGACGAATTATTGAATGACTAAAAAGTTAAGTTCAGTTAGTGCATGGAAGCCTGCCAGTTGGGATCAACTCGATTTTATTGTATCATCAATATTGATGTTCGTGAAAGCATAATCAAAGTTGTTAATATCGCAGCTAGCTAGCCTTCAAGTGTTCATATCTATGTGATTTGTACAGGCGTTTTTTTTTTTCGGGTAGAAATATTTCGCTAATGTTTTTCTTTGGTTGAAACCAATATGCAATAATTTACCATATCCCTTTATGCGCAAGAAATCAAGATATATATAATCTGAGCGATTACATATTTTTTTTAGCACCAGCTGCGGAGCCAAGCTAATATAATGACATTTTTTTTAAACAACGGAGATACGTGCAAAAAGATGCAGTTTTGCGTCCTCCCACAATCGTGGCAACCACCGTTCAAAGTACATGCTAATATCATAATTTCCTTAAAAAATAAGAAGTGCATGTCACGTCGGCATGCATCAAGATTGGTATTATATATATATACACACACAACAATAATCCAATTAGTTATTAAATATTCAAACGGCAATAGTGTCTCATCTCTTTTTAAAAATTTCAAATTTGAATATCTTTTTTTGTGAGAAAATCAACCACACAAATCTCTTCACTTGATTCTGAATGAAGTCTGATTAGGAGTTTGGCATAAATTATCAAAGCTACCTATTTATTTATTTTATTATTAAAAAAAGAAGAAGGAAAACTCATTAATTCTTAATTGCTGATTCGGGTTGTTGTCAATTTTCAGGGAAAATGCTTGAGTTTGGATGACCAGATTGATTTATTTCATCGTACAGCTGAGTCAAGCTTACCAAAGCACTTCAAAAGTAGTGGTCCAAATGGGGTAATGCAGTACTTGTCAAAGTCTATATTTGTAGTCTGCATTGGCAGTAATGACTATATGAGTTACTACCAGAAACGCCAGACAAATGATACAGGCAAACACGACTCTCCTCAAGCATTTGCTCAGCACCTTTTGAATAAACTATATGCCCAATTTCGGGTATGCCTTCTCTCTCTCTCTCTCAATCATTCGGAGGCAAATCTGTCTATGAATTTTGAAAATAAATTCGATTATGTCAAATTTTCTCCAAAAATTAAAATTATTATAAATATACTAAAAGGAAATATGTTTTCACCTTAGCTAATTCCTTGTTACAGTAAAACCAAAACGACATCTTTTTTATAAAAAAAATAAGTTATTTTTTATCAATTTGTCAGTATTTTACACTTTGATTATCTAAGTTATTACTTTATATAAAACAGTTCCTAATTTTTATGAATATTACCAAAAGGTCCCTATTTTTTTTTTCGGACTGAGTTTTTTTCATTAATTATTATTTAATCAAAATAATTTTTTTTCCATCATCAATGGTTACTTTTTCTATTTTTATAAATATTCATGAACTAAAATTAAATATTCTTCTAATGATTAAACACCTCCTTCTAATTGGATTTTTTAAAAATCATTAATTAATTGCATATATTTTTTCTCTATCAAAATAACAAATATTCCTAAGAAATATTTCAATTCAATTGTGTATATATATATATATATATATATATAAAATAATTTTTTTACAATGAGTATTAATTAATTTTTATTTTACATTTATATTTTTTTCATTATTTAAAATATTAAAACATGAAAATGATAAACTTACTCGCGGCAACGAACGAGTATTGAGCTAGTACATATACTAAAAGGGAATATGGTTTCACCGTAACTAAGCCCATGCTACGAGTGAAACTAAAACGGCATTGTTTTGAGTCTAAAAAGACTCAAAACGACGCCTTTTTCTCCAAAAAAAAGTTATTTTTATCAATTTATCAAAATTTTATATTGTGGTCCTCGAAATTATTACTTTATATAAAACGAGTTCCTAATTTTATTTAATATTACCAAAAGGTCCCTATCATATTTTTTTCGAGCTAGGTTTTTTCATTAATTATTATTTAATCAAAAGAACTTTTTTCCCATCATCAATGGTTACTTTTTCTATTTTTAGAAATATTCATGAACAAAAATTAAATATTCTTCTAATATAAATTGATTAAACACCTCCTTCTAATTAGATTTTTTAAAAATAAATAATTAATTGCATATTTTTTTTATCTATCAAAATAAAAAATATTCCGAAGAAATATTTCAATTCAATGATATATATATATATATATATATATATATATATATATATATATTAAATTAAATAATTTTTTTTTACAATGAGTGTTAATTAATTTTTAGTTTACATTTATATTTTGAAATTATTTAAAATATTAAAACATGGATATGATAAATTTATCTGCAGCAATGCGTGGGTATTGAGCTAGTAACAAACTAAAATCACAAGTTATCAATTTGATGGTTTAATATAGCGAACGTGCTTGTGGAAATGTTATTTTTTAAAAATTTTATACAAAATATATTGAGAACATTCTCCTTTTCAAGAATGTGCTTGAAAGTAATACAGAAAGCGATATTTAATTTTGAAAAAGAAAAGAAAATTTTGAAACTAAGGATCCGATCGTGAATAGATTGTGAGGTATAGGGATTGAATAAAAAAGATTTGGAAAAATAGGGACTTAAATGTATAAGAATAAAAATCCCAAGGGTGCTAGAATCCGCTAGTGCTAATGACTGTTGTTACCTAGTTCCACTTTCATATGTCTAAATATTTACATATATCTGTCGACAGAGGTTATATACTTTAGGAGCCAGAAAAGTTGTGATGTTTGAGATTGGACCCATCGGTTGCATTCCATCGATGACAAGGAAAAACATACATGATGGGAAATGCGTTGAAAATTCAAACCAGCTTGTTGCATACTTCAACGATAATCTTCTCGGAATGCTTCAGAATTTGACATCCACTCTCCCCAACTCCATTTTCGTCCTTAGTCATGCTCATTGGCTAGGTTATGATGCAATCATCAATCCTTCTAAATATGGTAGAGTACCCCTTTTTTTCACTCTTTTAGTTTCTCTTAGCTCACTAAGATTTGTTTTTTTTTTTTTTATGGTTAATCTTCTTTTTGGTAACTTCTTTTACAGGCTTACTTGACACAAGCAACCCATGTTGCAAAACCTGGGCCAATGGGATCTCCGCTTGCATTCCTGGGCTAAAACCGTGTTCTAATCCTAACCAACACTACTTTTTTGATGGTTTTCACCTTACTGAAACTGTATATTCTGTCTTAGCAGACGCCTGTATCAATGACGGATCGGTTTGCTCTCCTACTCTAAAGAAACTAGTACAAATGTAAGGCCTATGGCTATGAATATTAATCGATCAGAAATTGGCTGCTGATCGATTATTATTTAAACTACAACTTAAGAAGGAGCAAAGTCGAGTTCTTAAGAAGGAGGGGCACAATAATTTTAATGTTATTTGAACTACAACTTATTTATTTCTTAAAGTTCAAACTTAATTGTTTATGGAATTGGATTCATTCCTTGGATAGCCGCTTCAACATATGTGCCATCCATGATGTTTAAAGAATTTTTTTGTGCGAAGGAGAATATCTAGCAAGTATCCATCTGTAATACACTGTAAACTTTGCATCCAACTATTAGTAAAAAGATTGGAATCATTAATTTAATCCTGCCACAAATCAGCTAAAAAAAAAAAAAAATCACCATTCTATGCTGAATATTCCCACAAAGACAAGACATATGATCAGAAAAACTAGTTCAAAACTCAAGAAGAAAAAGGCTGCTGAAATACAGTACTTGTAATGTACAGAACTTATATGTTTCTACAGCATAGTGTTATGTTAGAAAATTAAACAAACAACATTTCGGTGTTCCTAGCGTGCCGTTTATGGCCCATTAAAACAAAACCAACGAAGTTCTATCCTATATTCGGTTTAGGGACATCACTTTCTATTGGGGACAAAATTGTGAGCCAAAAGTAAGCTATCTATGGCTAGCTTCAGTTGTGCTCAGTGAATGGGCACTTTATTATGGATCGGTGGATTGCGGCGAGGCCTATCATGTGTGCTGTAATCTTTGTGCATTAGGTTCACAATTTCTCTAGTTGCATCAATAAGCCTTTGCGTTCCATCTTTTGGATCAGTAGCGCTGCCTTGATGTTCCTGATCAATGTCAGCCCTGGAAGGACTTTCCAAGCTGGTTTTGGTTGGCAATGCTTTGGAATCCTTGGAGTTGGACTTTGGGAGATGGACTGTCTCAGTCCTTGGAGTTCCCAATCTGACAGACAATGTCTTTCTCTCCAAGTTGTTCATATCCTTCAGCTGTGGAAAAACCAAAAGTTATTGTCAATTAATTAGTGGAAACAGCTTACATTAAATTAATATAACAATATTTTATGTGTGTGGGAGAGAGGGAGATAGAGGGGGACCTGATTATTCAATTGATCTTGTGATCCTCCAATAGACTTGTGTAAGGCTTTATTCTCCTTTCCTGCAGTCAAAGATGACTATGAACAAAATATTCAACATATTCTAACCTAAGCCACTTCCAAAAATTTGGAACCAAGACTTTACAGAAATTACTATTTGTAATCTCAAATCGATATAAATAAGAAATTAATGCACTGGAATACAGTAACTAAAACACAAGAATACCCTAATTAAGGATTAACTGTATTATATTCCTTGAAGGTTCAAAATTGTACATAATAGCACACATGTTTACTAGCTAGCTAGTATACCTACACGCTGAATATTGCAGAAAAAAGGGATCTAACTGAAGGGTTTCAGTGCTTCTCTCAGTTATGCTTGGGAGGATGTTGTTTAGGTCCTCTATAATCATCACCAAAAGCAACAAAACCAGGCCCTTTGATCATTTTAGGAGATTTCCTCTTGTCTCCATGTTTACATCTTACATTAAAATCTGATCCCTTTACTTGAAAGTCACATTTGACATTAGAGTAGTTTGCACCTGAATTATCTTCTGAAGCTCCTCCGTGAAGGACTTGCTCTTTCTCAATTTCTCTCCTCAACACTTTCCGAGCTGCCATTTTCCTTCCGCCAAGGCCCATTTTCCTTGTGCTAGCAGCGCTGAAAACGTTGAGAAGTTCCTGTACATGAAAATGCTCAAGTTAAGCAACACAAATGCATGTAGAAACTAGAGAATATTATGCTGAGAGTAGACTATCAAAAGAGACTTGAGAGTTAGAAGCTTACATTACGAGCAGGCACACCGATTTCTCTGGTCCCCGCAAGCTCGTATTTGTTCATTTCCCAATCTACCAAATAAATTCAAATAAAGATTAAACAAATCCTAGTTTTCAACAAAATCAATAGAAGGAAATAAATATACACGTACCTTGATGATCATGAGCGTAAGAGCCCCATATAGCATTCATCACATAGAGCAGCCCTAGTACTATGACTAAAAACCTTTTGTAACCCATCTTTTTAATCCTTGTTCTCTTGAATATATGCTTGTTTTTCAAGAATAGAAGAGAGGAAAACTTGGAAAACATGATGTGGGTTTTATAGAGAGTTCAAATCCAAGTCAAAGCTAGGGTTCCAACATCTGCCTAATAAAATATTACAGCTCCCTGGCTACATGCAGAACTAGGGAAACTCGGAAGACAATTATAAAATAATTAACCAAATACAATAAGGTAATTTAAAATGAAAAATTTATTAAGAAACTATATATATATATATTTCAATAGTTTGAAAGTGGTCGTCTCCTGGGTTGAATTGAAGTATTGAACCAAAGTTAGTCACGAGGCATGCCACGATATTCTGACAGATGTATGGATGTTTTATGTGTATATTTACTGTCATGCATGCAACGAGGAATTTGAATATATATAATTGAGCAGATTGCTAGGCCAGTAACTTTAGTAGTTAGAGACTCTAAAATTTACAACAAAGCTAGAGAACCACCTAGTGGTTTCCCACTGTACTCCAGGTATTAGTCAAAAACTTTGTACTGGACAACAATAATCACTCAACTGTATATTTTGATACAAATTTAGTCTTGGTATCTAAAAACTGTTAGCTCGAGGATATATACACGCACTAAGATTGTAATTAGCTAACAGTTAAAAAAAAAAAAAATGAGAATAGATTATAGTCCAGAAAATACATGTCGTTTTTCAATAATACTCAAGATAATAAGACAATAAGTTTTTAAGTTATGTGAAAATCATGCATTAATGCTTGACTCGGTTTTTCATTCTAGTTTTTGCTGTTATTTTTTTAAGATAAATACAATAATTCCCACAGAAAAAAATAATTAAGCAATTAACCAAATCAACCGAGAATCAACGGGAGCAACTAGACACTCTATGTGGAATATAGTCAATCCTGGCGAAGATCTGAGTCAGAAGTTCTCAGATGAGTAATTAATATATATATATATATATGCATAAAGACATATCAGCAAAAAGAATGCAAATAAAACAAATGAGTGCTATCTTCCCTTGGATACCTTATAGGGTTTTGGCCTTTAGGTAGACTTCAGCAAAGAAAAAGCACATTTTTCTCCTTTTATTTTCAGGCACTGGAATCATTCTGTTTAGGAAATAGAAACATCCGGCATCACCATATTATACTATGTTTAACATTTTTAGGAACCTACCTACCTACCTACCTACCTACCTATCCCTTGCTCTAATCCTCAAAATTAAATGCATATCCTCACATAGGTAGCTAGAAAGGGAATTCCTTTTAGATGAAAGTTCCCTCTTAGATCACAACAGTTTGGGGGAAAAAAAAAACAAAAAAAAAAAAAACAAAACAAAGCATGGCTATCTAGAAAGGCAGATTTCAAGTTTTTACGAGTTCCTTTCTCTCTCTACATTCCCAATGTGGGTTTCCTCTTATTCTGACTAAAAGTTTTGAAATGCAGGATTAATTTGACCCGAATTGCAAAGTCTGCATGCTTATTCAAGTTCCCATATATCGCTTTTAGCTAGGATATGTACCTAACTAAATTGTGCTGGCTTTATTAGTGATGATAATTAATTAATTACCATACACAATCACATTAAATAAGAAATCAAAGTGAAATTAAAATTTGAGTTAAAATATTTTTGCATATGGAATAGAAGAAGAGATAGATGGTGGTGAATGACGAGGCATATGCATAGTTCCCAAAGAGGCATGAGCTAGCATCAAATTAAGAGCTCAAGGAACATGACCCAGTGATTACTGCATGGATTTGCTAAATCATATCAACTTTTAACAATGTATGAACACAATAAACTATGAGATTAGTGCTTGTTGAAGTTCAGAACTCGAGGCCTTGTCGTCCAGCTTGATGCTATATTTGTGCCTGCCTCTTGAGAATAGTGTGCTTTGTGTCGGTTAGTTCTTTTGGTCACCCAAAAGCTCAGCTCAAATGCTATCCAACATGATCATTTTTAGTCCGTAGTTATCAGAGAAATTCCATTTCTCAAGAGGAGAGGTGATTGTTGGTGCAAGCTGGTTAAGTATCTCATAGGAAATTTCTCTGAAACTTCATAAAATCAAATTCTTTTCTCATTTAATTTTGGGAAACTATCTATTTAAAACACGATGCAGTTCTTCCTGATGAATCTGTCCTATTATAATGAAATATTACAATGTATTAATCAATAGCTTATCTTAATTAGCATTCAAACAATGAAATGTACACTGGAGAATACTACAAATAACCAATGAGTTATAACTCGACTAGCATTAATGTTCGTTTTTTTTTTCCCGAAAAGTCTCGAGTTCAAATTCTCTCTCTCTCTCTGTTTTTTTTTTTTTTTTTTTTAAAGTATTACAGATATACAACATCAAGAATTTAGTTAAGTTGATGGTTTTCGGAGTATCCATTTCCTTCAACCTGAAAACTATATGCACTTGTGTAATTAAGTACTAATTCTTTCAATGTCAGCCCTCGTCGACTCATGAACTACCTCATCTAGACTAAAGTCATGGAAGACTAGTTGTAAGGTCTAAAAGGATCTACATGCACTCCACTAATATCCAATAATATAAGAAAGATGGTATTATCCAAAAATCTGTACATGAAAGCCAAGAACTTGTGAAAGTTTTACCCAATTTGTTTATAAGCTTTCCTTCATGGAGAAGAGAGGATTGTGGATAAACGATACCGCAAAGGAGCTGGGTTAGGACACATGTCCACACAGTACGGCTCCTTTAATCAATGTCGCAAAAGCTAAGACTTTGTGGTACTTGCAGCAGTCCGTGCTACTAAGAAGATTACGTGTACGGTTGTGATAAGTTAGAATTGTTAACAAAAATTAAATTCAACTCATGGTATGGGAGCTTTGGACTGTTGTACGGAAATGGAGCTTTTGAGGTTTGGAGATTCCAAAGTTCACGCGGGAAAATTGAGCTGTACATAAAATGAAATCACATGTAAAAATTAATTTTTTTAACCATCTCTGATTTAGATTGAGTTTCTCAACTTTTTTTTCTATTGATTTTGGAATTTTTAATTCAATTAAAATTGAGTTTTTGAAATTTTTTTTTATTGATTTTGGAATCTCTAAAGTTTTAAGTTTTTTAAGTTTAATTTATCTAATAATTTTGAACTATTATCTTTCTTTTTAAAAAATTTAATTTTTAATATTTTGAACTGAAATTTTACATGTACATTAAAAAAAATTCAATCTACTTTATAGAAAAATTTCAAATTTATTCAAAATCAAAAAATATATTTATTTATTTTTTAAACATTAAAAATAGAAAAAATCAAGAAAAATAGAAAATGACCTTGAAATGATTCTAAATTTTTTAAGGAGTCTCACATAAATTTAATTGGATGATTTACATCATAAAACTATTTATTTAATTGTTATTTATTGAGTTGAATGATAAAGAACCAAAGGATGGGATAAATTTTTTTAAAATTAAAAGTTTAAAGATTTTTAAAATCAATAAAAAAAAATCCAGAAATTCAACTTAAAATGACTTAAAGTTCAAGCCTAAATTAAATTAAATTAGGGCTTCTTCCAATGCTTCATTTTCAAAGAAACGAACATATGCTTTGCTTGCCTTTTGAGGACAGCTTCACATGTATGCAGGGGACCAAATGATTTTAATTATTTTCAATTCAATTAACGAATCATGGTAATTAATTTCTGATAAATAGGACAAGTTAAGGGGAAGTTTTTGAGAACCCAAGAAAGATTCCTTGCAGATAGCCTTGTTTATACTGTGCTTACTGCAAAAACATTTTTTTTAATCTTACTTCAAAAACATATTTGCCTTTTGAGAGAGAAGGAAATATCTTCCGGCCTTAATGTTTTTTTTTTTTAATGATTAAATATAAAATAACCACTATATTCTTAATTAAGAAACTAATGACCGGGTCGTCTAGTTTCATAATTCATAAGTTAGTTTCTTAACATGCTTACACCATCAACTTCTTAACAAAATTGTTACTTTCTCAATTAATAGTTTTAGACCAAATAGAACAAACTTTTCTTGATTTCTAACTCATTTAAAATTAAGTTTATGAACCTCAAATTTGGTTTCGCTTTTAATTTTTTGTTATTTAGTTCATCCAATGATTTTTAGCTCTTATTTTTCCTTTTAAAAAAAATTTTAATTCTTACTATTTTGAACTAAAATTTGCACACACACAAAAAAAAAATTCAATCCTTTTTCTAGAAAAATCCAAGAATTTTTCAAAATTAAAAAGGTATATTTGTTTTTTTTTAAATATAAAAAATATAAAAAATTAGAAAAAAAAATAAAAAATAATCCGAAAATGATCTCAATTTTTTATAGTCTCATATAAATCTCATTAAATGATTTTCATTGTTGCAAGGCGACATTTGGGAGATGACGACGATTTTTGAAAATAGAAAATGGGCAAAAATAATAGAGTCATCACCTAGTATTATGGTTACCGAGAAACCATATGGCCGATTTGTTCGGAGTTCTAAGTAAGAAGTTTATTACGTATAGAGAAGATTAAAAATCACCGTATCTTGTCTTGCCTAAGACAAGCTACATTACATACAAAATTGATTTGATTTTTTTATTTTTTATAATGAACATCTATGCTTATTTTCTAAACATTTACTAATTGAACGAGTGATTGGGGACTAGATGGGTCGGGGATCGCGTCCTCACTCGAAACAAATAGGTATGAAAATAAAATGAAAAGAGCATGGTGAGTGAGTAAGAATATGTGGCTACTGCGGCCTAAGTAGCATGCATGGAAACATGGCTTAAAAATAGGCAAATAGACAAAATAAGTAACAACAACAAAATGACAAATTAGACAAAAGAGATAAAAATGATGAAAATGGCAAATTAGAAAAAATAGATAAAAACAAAAAAAATGGTCCTAATTAAAGTTTGGACTTGAAGCGAATTTGAGCATCATGATTTTCAAATGTGCAAGCACAATTTGGCAAAATGGGCATAAACAATCAATTTCGGGACTCGA